CACACACAATTTTAGTGTGTTTACAGTAAGGCTGACTGAATTACTGTATTTCTACATTTTTGGATATCAAAGATGGTTTTCATATTGTATACAGTTCAATGAGAAGTAATGTCATTTTTGTAAAGTGATTACTTTTTTACATTTTGACAGTCTGTGCACTATGACTGACTATATGTTCCTGTTGGATAGAAAACTAGTGCTAATGTTTTGATCAAACGACTCAATTATGAGTCAGGTTTGCTGTGTTTTGATAAAGTTAGTATATGTAGAAAATGGTATTTTGCATTGTGAAATGTAAAGTTTGTATTTATTTAACAAAATGTGGTTTTTGTCCGCAAATGAACCATTTGGCCAGGTGTGTGATGTAACTGTGTTGCTGTGTTAAGAGTTTAGAAGAAGTATTTTAAGTATTGGTTAATGCTTGTTAGCAACAGCAAAAAACTGTAATACAGCCCAAGGCTTTAGGTTAGCAGATGCAGCAAGTGTCTATATCAGGATACTGATATCTAATTGTGTTTTGACCATGTTCTTTCCTGATTAGATAGGACTTTAAAAGACAACACTCACTCTCAGCTGCAGACAGAGTTTAAGTTACCATCTTAAAGCATACTGAAAAAGACTCACACAGCACTGGTAAGACAGTTAGCACACACTGTAGTTCCCCTGCAGTAAAAACACTTCCTTCATGGTATCAAGACTTTCTGATGACTCTGTCAGATCTGCATGTGACTGGCTGGCAGCTGTGATGTCATAGCTGGGACTTTTCCCAGGGAGGTGAGTCAGGCAGGCGAGGTTAACCTGCAGAAGCACTACCTGTCTGCTCTCACGTCATGCCTGTTGTTGGGCAGTATTTTTTTTTCTGTTTGGGTGGTGTCACAGCTGTGGTCACAAGATGAGCAAGACATTGTAAGTGAGTTTACTGTCAACCATTAAACATCATCAACAACAAATGTGTTCCCATAGGATGAAACGTTCCTGGTTAAACTGAATGCCCTAATGTATATAATTCACTTTATTTATAAAACAATTATTGTTATAAAGGCACTTTACAAGAAAATTAAATGACAGGGGGTTTCAGTAAGGTAACCATGGTCAAAACTAGAAAGCTCCTTAAAGTTAACAAAAAAATTTTTTTATGTCACTATTAAAATTGGCGTCATTGTATGTTTATAGTTTCTGGATCCTATTTTTAGAGTTTTGATACGTGGTAATATCATGAATATTGCTCATTAATGTGTATTTGTTAATGAATTATGGGTAACTTTTGGGTGAATATTGGTGGGAGCTATTGTCCGTAAATCGTATGCAGCTGAAGGAGAAGAAAAATACCTGCTCCACCATGTGTGCATATCTGGAAGGCGTGTCAGACCATGTTACTCACCTGTGAGTAAGGCAGGACTCAACTAGACCTGGCGGCTTCATGCACGCAAACACTACATTAAAGCCAAATATGGCAATTAGATTAATTGGGAAGGGACATAGAGATGAACTAATATGTTTTTGTTGTTGCTGTTTTACTGTCTAACCAGGGTGATTCTTTGATGGAACATTTGTCTCAATAAAGTCTTTAGGCAGATGTACCTAACAAACGGCCAACTGAGCGAGTGTTTTGGATGAACAATTTAATTTGTGTAGTAACATGTCGCTACACCTGTCAGACAGTCAAATGTAACACCTCAGTTTTCCCCAAGCATAAAACCAGCTGGTGTCACATTAACCCTCTTGTACATGCTCAGGTAGACCCCTCACCTGTGTGGGAAACATCAGAGCTTTTACTCAACATCATCAAATATCATCGTTAAAAAAAAAAAAAACACGAGGTCAGAAAGTACATTTTCAGACATTTGATTACTTGTGAAAGCTTGAAAGAAATCAAATGCAGCAAGTTTGACTGAGGTAGCACTTGTGATATACTACAGTAACACTGAGGTGGTTGCAGCCAAACATAACACCTGTTACAACTGACCTTACCTTGCTTTTTTCCTGATATGATAATGTATATTAGCCATTTTCCTTGGTTTAAAATTTAAATCTTATCTGTATTATGGTACAAAAGATGTAAGACCAATAGACCACGACATAAACTACAGACTGCACTACACTCATGTGTCTTACAAATCATTATATGTTTAACAATTTGCTTTTCTGTGATGCCTTTTATTTGAAATGAGGCCTATATAACACCTGTGAGATCAAATGCAACAATTCACATCTTGCAAATAAAGTTGTACCTTTTATAGAAAACATGCCAACTTCTGATATAATACATTCTCACGCTTGTGCCACTTTGACATAACTTTCTAAAACATGGCCATGTGTGCTTTGGTGTCTCAGTAAAATAAAAAGGTAAAATTGTGACCCCACTCACAAGTAAAGAGTAGCTACAGTACTGCGTCTAAAACAAATGTGGGGTTCAAAACCTAAATAAAATAACTTACAAGTAAATTTTCTCCTAAGTTCCACTCACATATTTTCAGTAAGTTAGTTATTGTTGAACTAGTTTTGATGCTAGTGCTGCCCCAGCTTAAGTTCTGATCAATTAAATAACTGAAAGGAAAATCAAATAAAAGTAAAATTACTAGTGTATATGTTATCGTATTCATATGAGCTGACTCGTATAGTTGACAGTTGAATGTACGTGACCGAGATCAGATCCATCCTCTGCAACGTCCGGACATGTTGCGTGAGCCGCAGGTCAAGAAGCTTCTCGATGGCTCCGCCCACACGTGACTAGCTGAGCTGACGTAACCGGCGGCTCTGGTATAAAAGCCTCGCGCTCAGCTTCCACTGCAGTTCAGCCTGATTCAACTGCTTCATGGAGTATATACAGACCAAACTCTTGGAGGGGATCGTAGAGCTGGACAAACAGAAATAAGGATGGTCTATACCACGGCTTTGCTCTTTGGACACGGAGTGCCCGGCATGACGGAGGAGGACAGTGTCCTGGAGATGATGGAAAAGTACTTCTTCCAGCTCACACCCCCGGGGCCGAAGACGAGCTCAGCCCGGAGGGGGAGTGTCGAGAGTTGCGAGGATAGAGAGAACTGCTCGTCATGTAAGTTGTAATTATGAACAAACTACAAATATATTTATTAAAGCAGCTTAAAGTTGGTCGAGTTACCCAGAGAACCGTCAATCCGTAATCAAAACACTGCTCGTCATGTAAGTTGTAATTATGAAAAAACTACGAATATATTTATTAAAGCCGCCTTTTAAGTCAGTGAAAGTTAGTCGAGTTACCCAGAGAACTGTCAATCCGTAATCAAAACAAAAGGAGCGAGAACTAGAAGCTCAGTAACGGCCCCTCCTCCCCGGTAGGAATGTTTCTGATGTAATGAGCTGAGGTGTTGGATCAGCTGAGGGCAGGTGGAGGCACAGTGCCTCACCTTTCCGCAGCGGATAGGACTCTTAGATAGCACTACGAGTGATGAAACTAAAATATGACAAGGGTCATACTCCCAGATTAAGGTAAAAGTAAAATCTTCCTCAGGAGAGGAACGCACAGGGATGACACAGACAGTTCTAAAAACTACTTGCATGCTAAATAAGTGCCAGTTATTCTGACTGCTGCTGATGTGAATTGTTTTCTACAGTTGACAGTTTGGACGCCGGGTTGGAACATGAGGAGCGGCTCCTCCAGCAGGACGTGACCCAGCAGATAGAGCGCTCCGGAGCCCAGGGCTCCCCCCCTCCACTGCCAGGTGCTGCTGCTACCTCGCCACGTGACCACCAGGGTCGGGCAGGACGTGGTGCGCTCCTCGGCCGACGAGCCCTGCGGCCTCCGAGGTGCCTCCATCCAGGTCTACGTAGACTGCAAAGACGGGCTGAAGTCTGTGGGGAGCGTCTTCCCTGACCCGAGTGTCACCCCGACTTTTGAACTATCTGTGATCTTCAAGGCAGACAAAGATGGCGGCTGGCCGCCACTGAGACGCATCTTTGATACCAACAAAGTGTTGAAGCTGAGAGCGGAGTACCGACTGGTGAAGAGGAAGCTCTACTCCTCTGCCAGTCCTGTCATTCATGACTTCAACTAGCGTGTTAACCCCGGTTGTTTTGTGTGATGTGACTGTTCTTGTTCATGTTTTAAATGCCAGGCTCCATGCGCACTGGATGCTGGATTTACTCTGCACTAGATTAGCTCTGAGGAAACTGGCTGTGGTTTCATGTGTGGATGTCTTAGAAAATTGGAGCAGGGGCTCGAACTGTTTACTCTGCGGCCACAAAGCGGCCGAATGTAAATTGTCACTGTAAAATATTTCACAGGAATGGGCGGGTCTCATTCCTGCAGTGTGCTGTCCTTTTATATATATTTTTTTCTATTTAATAAATTTTTTTTTCTTTGACAATCCCAACTACATTTGCGTGTACTGGTGTATTTACTTCTTGCAGCACTGCCTAATGACATGCCCACAACAAAAAAATTTCTTAACAAAAACCCCTTAACAGGCTTTAAGGGGCCAGCTCATGCCAATTAAGGCAAACTAAACTGTACAGCAAAAGCCGACTTAAGTTTAGCTCAAGTATTTATTTAACAAATGTACAACAGAACATGATACATCAGCTACCCAAACAAATGATCACACCTTTTTGTATGACCTAACCCACACTACAGCCACTTCCTTCTGCCACATTAATGCTATTTCAGCAACCTCCACCTACTACTTTAGCCCTTAAACTACTTTAACAGAGCACTTGTTTCACATTACTGCCACACAAAGCCTATTTAGGTTGGTTTCTGACCATCACAGGCAGCTAATGATTTCTATGTGCAGTAACGGGCTAAAACATCTGCTACTAAAAGACATGACTCACTGGTTCAGTGATACCATCAGATATCATCTGCTACTAAAAGACATGACTCACTAGTTTAGTGATACCATCAGATTTTTTTCATTTTAGAAAGACTCCCTTGTTCTGTTAATGAAAAGGGCAGAATGTCTAGCTGTGTGATGGTGACCAGACAGTGCTAGTATTCATTCTGAATTTACAGAAGCTGTACATTGTGGACTTCTGGTTGTTGCTCTAATACCTTTTCAGCCCATCACATCTGAAGCTGAGTGCCTTGTGCCATTTATCATGTGACCCCAAACATACTTTTGCTGGTGAAAAAGTTCTTTTTCTCTTTCCACAAAGTTCATTGCTCAGCAGGAGGAAATGAAGAGCACTGCTGGTGAGATGGTACCTGGGGTAGGTGGGACACCATTTGTCCTGGAGTGAAGTCCCACAGTGCTGCACATGAACCAAGTGCAGAAGAGCAAGCTCTGAGCGGCTCTCTCAAACACACACAGACACAAACATCCTTATTTACACCAACGGACGTGTATATGTATACACAGACTGCAGTCCTCTTCAGAAACCAACCAGTGACATTCTTTGAAATTTCAGGCTATTTCTTCATTTTCAGGTCAGCCTCCATGGCGCTACGACGACCCCTGGTGCCTCCATCCTGTAGTGGAGAGACAGAGGAGGAGAAATGGAAAAGAACGGGAGAAAGAATTAACACCATAGTGGAAGGGACAGCGTCAACTGGTCAGAGTGAACGACGGCCCTGTGGGAGGCCTTGTCACGTGATTGAGCTCCGCACAAAAACACAGCACAGTCCACCTCAGAAGGCTTCCTTCACAAATAAAGAACATAAAAATAATGATGATGAAAAGAAAGATTTCAAAAGCACAGAAGGAGAAAAGAAATTAGAACATGCAGAGACAATCGCACATAGACAGAAACACAACATAAACCGGCATGGGGTCATTAACCGAAGGTTGACAGAAGCTTGGTGATGAAAGGTTATTGGGACCCGTGTGTGTGTGTGGCTGGGATGCTGTGTGCAAACAGAACAGGACATGGACAGTGATGTGTGAGTGTGAAACTGTAACAAAGAGCAGGAGTTAGAGTGAAAGACAGCCTTTAATGCTCGTCTATAGCACACACCTACAGTACAGAGCTGAGTGTGGCTGGGCCCTCAGTACTACTCACTGTGTGACACTCAGGTCTAGTACCTTCATGGCTGGAGCACTATCTCATCAATCCACCACAACTGTTGTAAAACCTGATTGACTAGATGACTAGTTTCTACAAGCAAGAAAAACAAAAACACGTGTGAAACAGTCCCATGTCAAGGAAGTTGTACCACGTTTAAGTGAAAGAAAATCAAACAACCAAAAAAAAAAAAAAAATGAAAATAGGGTCCTGCACAGTTTAAACATTTTAGTTGCTTCACAGATTTCTGGATTTCTTGTTTACACCATTCTTGTCATGAGGTTGAAGTGGGCGGGGCTTGACAAAAAGGTGACACCACATAATAGGATGCACCAATCACATTTAGCAATATTTGAACCAATATATGATGAGATAATTGTTTTCTGATGTTGCCTGGCAACTATCAATAAAATCTGATAAAATTACGCCCACACACCCCTGATCACTATTTCAGACTGTTTATTTAGTCATAACTAGTTCATGCTACATAGTTTAGGGTTACACTTAGAAGAGACATTTCCTTAAATCATAAAAGAAGTCAAGTCATACATATTCACAATTTCAGTTATTAGAATGTTAGAATTCAATTACTTTTAAAAGTTTCACTAAGTTATTAAATTACATGTTCCTCATAAGTACAACCCAACCACTACTGAACACCAATAATGTATCAGCCAAGTGCAAATTCTTAATTGGCAGTTAACACATATAAACTAAAACCAATAAATCAGCAATAACCTAACATCTCTTCATATATTGGCCTGACTCATTTATCGGTCTAGCTCTACTCCACTCGTAAGGATTTAGCAGAAGTGTTCAAATAATGCCCAGTATTTGAGCATTTCCAGAATGAAAATGGTTTTGTTTGTAGAGACATTTTGCTGATATATTATTGAATAACAGTAATAACTGACTCTTATTCGTATTTAAATCTTTACTAGTAGTATTTTTACACCAGCTTGCTTCTTTAATGCCACTAGAATACAACTGAAAAAAGAAAAAGAGGAGAAGAGAGATGAGAGGTACAGACAGATGAATGCAGTGTATGTGTGTATGTTGAGACAAGCGTGTGCGGAGCGTGGCCTGGGCCTGGTGAAATCTGAGGGAGAACCTGAATACTTACAAAAAGAGAGAGAAGGAAAGCAGGAGAGGCCATTGGGACACTGTCCTGTAGGAGGACAAACATCGGAGTGAGAAAGAGAGAGAAAACACACACGTGCGTGAGAAAGCAAGTTTCATACAAGTCTGTGTCAAACACAGGCACACGCTGAGGGACAGTCCATTTGAGTTCTGCACAACACAAGCACTCACACAACGGTAAAATAAGACATCCAGCTCTCCACACACACTCATATGCAAATAGTAAACAGCGAGACTAAGGACACACAGATGGGCAGAAAGACGTAGACAAACACAGCAGAAACACACACTGGCAGGCAGGCTCACTCCCTGTGCACACAGAAAAATGTCATGACTTTCATTCAGTTGTAGCAGCTTTACAGTTTGAACTGCAAGTTTTATTTTGTTTTTGTTTTTTTCTTAGTCAAGTTCTAAAAAAAGATGTGATACTCCATTTTACATTGCAGTTGAATTTTCTGTGTAGAAACAACTAAGATGATTAAGATGGTTAATACATGAGATATTCAGAACATTTCAACTACACTGTGACAGTTTTAGGTTTAACAAATGCCCAGATATTTCCTGTCTGGAAATGACTTTTCTAGGCTCCATGACGCTTCATGCGTCTAGAAAAGCAAAGAATTTGTTAGACACGCATTCAAAAGTCCCACATCCACACCATAAGGGGACAATAATACATACACAGAAGCAAATATAATCCACTGCAGACAAGCAACAGAGACAGTGACAGCGACAGGCAGGCGCAGACAGACAGGAGTTAGCAAGGAGAGTCGCAGGCAGCATGCAGCACAGGAATCAGACGGGAAGTTAAGACCAGAGATTATTCCACTGAAGCACATGATAGCGAGCAGAGAGAAGTGTTGACATGATGTTTCCGGTGTCCTGTGCGTTCAACAAACTGTGTATGTGTATATTTGGATTTTTTACATTGAGTGTGAATACAAATATGTCAAATCTAATCCCATAGATAAAACATAATAGTAGAAAGAATTCTACAAATGTTTTATAAGTAGGTACGTTTTCAATGAGTAGCCTAAAATGCACTGTCTGAGGAAATCATTTTCTGTTGTACTTTCAGCACCTGTTGCCTTCACTTCCCGTGGGAACAGAGAGCACTCAACACATACATTTCACTTGTTGCCGACATAACACTGGCAGCACTGACCCCATTTTAGACCAGCACAGTTCAGAGCTTAGTATGAAGCATTGGAGGCAGTACTCTACCAGAGAGAAACGGATGATTTTTGTTTTGAATCTTATATGAAATACCAGAGCACCCGTTTCCCAGACTGTTTAAGATTGAAGCCATGTTTTAAAATCCAAATATCTGCTCAATCTAGATCTGCATAAGTAAGTACATTTATTTGCTACTGAACTGACAAACCAAACAGCCTACCTCAATTATCAGTGAAGAAAAACCTCACTGACTTATTATCAGGTACTGTACACTGTATCTGTGATGTAGCTCACAGGGAGGTTAGAGGTCTACAAGTCTGCATACCAACACATGCACCTGCTCCCGTGGTCAAGACAGACATACGGATATTGAAGAAGTGGACTATGCTGCAGGAGTGGTTCGAGACGCTTAATGTTTCTGGTCAAGTGTAAAATCCATTATACTGGTTCCTGAGAACCTGGAAACACTGCAAAGACTCACTGATGCTGTTTCTAGTGCCCCGACATGCTGGTACACATACTGTACACACACACACACACACACACACACACACACACAAAACACATTTCACAGTTGAGTGTCAACTTGACACCTTTTGGTTTTAACACATTAACAGTGAAATCTGGGGACCGGAGGCTTTGCACAGACTTTCAACCCCTCAATCGCCCAACCCACCTTGTCCGTTGACTCTCCTGGCTTACGATTTCCCTCCCTGCCACGGAGGCTCTTGGCGGAGATGGCGCTCTCTGAGGTCTGCATGATGAGCTGCGTAGCCAGGAACTGCTGGACGTGCTCCAGGACGTCCTTCTGCATCTCCAGCGCCATGTGGTACACGTCGTGGTCCGACGAGTTGTACATGACGGCATTTTGAAACATCAGCATGATGTCTCGCTGGAACTCAGCAGTCGTACGGATCACGCCGGACTCAATGTTCTTCTTAATGGCTGACAGGTCCATGGGCCTGAAGCAGGAAGGGTGGTGAGAGCAGCAGGGGGAGGGAGAGGTTTAAAACTTTGTCTGCTATGAACAATCAACTGTATCTTCCACTCTTTCATAATTTTATATCCATTAGCTGCAATGGTAAATTGTGTTGAGGGTTGACCTCAATACATTAGGGTTTCTGCCTGTGTGCCATAAACATAACACACATTGAACCAGGCTGACAGCCTCCGAGTGTCAGGTCGCTAAAATAGCGTGTGCACGTGTGTGTGTGTGTGTGTGTGTGGCCAGACCTGTGTACGATGCTGTGGTAACCAGGGGCGATGTCATCTGACACGGGCTGCAGGAAGACACTGGCATACCTATGAGACACAGCGCATCAATAAAATGTCTGGTTTGTTGAGCAGAGCAAACGAAAACAACCATCTACATTTTAGAATGTGTAAGAACATTTTACACAGTCATGCATCTTTGCTCCAAACACCAGAATTTTAGAAAAGTCAAGAAAATAAAGTATAGTCCAGGATGAACACTAGTGTCTTGTACGTCTGTACTTGTTTGGCAAATCTTTGGCCACTATTGGCTACCAGCTATCACTTTAGGAGGAGTTCACATTCCACAAGAAATTACACCAGGTGGGATTTCCACATTGATTCTGATACTCGTCACACTCATCTTTGATTGTTTGCAGGTAAATTCAATTCATGTGTATATTAAAATTAAATATATGGATTAAGAACCAGCAGGCATGAAGATAACATTTAAATAAAATATAACTGATCAGATAAAAAAACAATTATATCACAGACATTTTTGGGAGGCTTCTCAAAAATACATAAAAATAGTTTGGCAATTCATGCCAATTTTGTGCACATGCTTAGGTCACAGCTGGCTACTTTTATTTTAACAAAGAAAAGTAGGAGCACTTAAAAAGAAAATCATACAACAACCACTGATGTATTATTTAGTAAAGGGCATTTTTCCATCTTTTTTCTTCATTTGTTAATGTTGTGATAAATATTGTATTGTGGACTTATCAAGGCAATTTTGTAAAGCAGGTTTTTGGCATTGTTACATCCCTAATTAATTACATATTAATCTTCTTTGTTAAACAAGATGCTACCTGCTGTTAGATGACCAACAAAAGCTAAATCCAAACAAGGTGACATTAAAACCTAATGAGATAAAAAGGTGCTTCTGAAGTACTTTGCCCCCACCTGTGGTTGGCTGCAGCTCTCCACACCAGCATAATGGCTTTCTTCCAGATCTTCTGTGCCTGCACTGCCTCCTGGTCCTCACCACATGTAGAGCTGATGCAGAGAGAGCAGAACAGGAATGAGGGTGAAGTCCAATGTGGATGGAAATGGAAAAGCAGAAGAGAAACCCAAGTGACAGAGACAAACATGCATACTGTTAGAATTTGGATGTCAGCAGTAAGACTGCTTAGCTCAGAGAAATGGACTCCTAATCTGATTCAGAGGTTGTGACATGAATAAGCATGACACGTGCTAGCTAAGCTTAATCTAATTTAATGCAGCAGTTCTCTTAAAATGTTTAGTTGCAGGGGTTATCTCAGGACACTGCCCTGTATTCACACATCTAAACAGCATCCAACAGCTAGAAACGGTTATTAGGACAGAATTCTCACATCTGAGTGACACCTACAGCTGGGAAGAAGAGGCTGGGCTGCTGGCCAGTGAATCTGCTGTGTAGCGCTGGGAGGGCGGGCCGTAGCCATCTTCACTCTCGCTGGCTGCCCGCTCCACCTCTGACAGATAGGGGCCCTCCCCACACTCCTCCTTCAGTTCCATCCCTTCTTCAGGGTCACCCTCACTCCCCACCTCCTCCTCCTTAACCTCCTGGATTCAACAACACACAAACAAGAGTAAAATTACTGTACTGTATTTTACAAAGGCTGTGTGTGGCCTTGTTTATACACACACACACACTTCTGGAGATGGAACACTGGGAGCACACTGCTTTGCAGGGACTGGAAGCTGGGCCTCAAAATTAATTAATTGAATTTAATGAAAAATGAGGGGGAGTAAGGTTAGAGCAAGTATTGGCTTTGGTTAAGTGTTAGGGTAAAGATTAGGCAAATAGCAGCGTGTTGCACACCGTTGGCACTAGTTGACCCTGTCAGTGACTTTTCAGCTGATTGGAGTTGGCCCGTTGGGCCTTGCTGGTGAAAGAGACCACTCTGATTGACTGCTGAGTTTAGCAAATCAATGCAAGAGAAGAGAAGAGAACATCCCCTTCAGCCTCCACAACCAAAAGACCGAGGGCAGTGAACAGCAGTGTCATTTGCAACTTCTTATCAGGCATATTCTCGATTAACAGAGGCTTTAAACAGCAGCTGTTTTGAATGAGAGATGTTTTGTTTATAGCTTATACTTTCACATTCTAGCTCGTCTTCTTTCCCTTTCAGAATGGCGAATACAGATACTGCCACCTGCTGTTAGGGGGACTTATTTTTGTCACGCAGGTGCAGAATGTACATGCTAGTTGGCCATTGGCTGTGGTCTGTGCAGTGTGTCCCAAGCGTCACTTTTTCAACCTGAATGGCTGAGACGAAGCCTACGTGAGGTGAAGTAGACGTAAACCTTCATTGCTGCTAGTTCTTTCATGTTGGCTTAGTGTGTCTCTGCCCTAAGTAAATGAATGTAAGTCTATGTACAGATCCTGTAAGTGACAACCCCAAGGGTGTGTGTGAGTTACCTTGGACTCTTTACCAGACACAGAACTGTCCTCAGAGTCTGTGGGACAAAAATGAGAAGAGGATTAGAAAACAAACATATGAGCAAGATTTCCGTGTGTGTGTGTGTGTGTGTGTGTGTGTGTGTGTGTGCGCGCACCACCCACCTAGGCAAGGCAGGCTGGGCTCTGGCTGGCTCCACTCCTCCCCCTCACTCTTCACTGTTGCCTCAGTGGACTCCTTCCCTGTTGTCCCCTCCTCTGTAACCTCACTTCCTGTAGCTCCATCATCAGAGGCAACAGAAGAAGTGACATCACTTCCTGTCACCTCAGGACCCTCGCAGTTTCCCTTAAGCTGTTCTTCTCTTTTAATCTCAGGTTGGTTCTGAGTCTCTATGCTGGCAGGGGTCAGGGCTGACATTGTGGCCACATCCTGAGGTTCCTGTGTGGGCTCAGAGTCTGGGACTGTGGGTGCAGCATCTGAAGCTTTCAGCTCCTGGGTCTCCCATGGGCCAGGGAGTGTGTGTTCTTCTGAAACAGCCTCTTCGCACAAAGACAGAGCTGCTTCCACCGCCGCTGCATCCAAAGCCTCCACAGAGTCGTCAACCTGGGAGGGAGGAGGTTGGGGTGGGGAGGGAGGAAGTTCAAGCAACAGTACATGACAAGGCACCTGAAAGACTGAATGAATTTCATACTACTCTATGTGAACATATAAAAAGACCCCGGGTCACTGTACATGGGGTGATTAGGAACAGTGAATTTCTCTCATTTGTATCTAGAAGAAGAATACATTTTTCAAAGTTTGGGAATTTAATGTGTTTTACTTTTGCAACTCTTCAATCATTAATATATTAATACTCTGGATTATAGTCTACCGGGCATTTCTCTACTACCACCTTCTTCACAACCCAGCTGCACACACGTACTGTAGTCTAACCTACTCCCCAGATTGCATAAATAGAAGGCCAGTTCACTCTGATCCTGGTCATGCTCTATGATGGCAATGATGTCATCTACAGTCTCAAGGTCTAGTTCGTCTCCTATATAAGACACCGTTACAAGGTCCTCTTCCACTAATCCTGTCTCCTCATTGAGCTCTGCCTTCACTGCAGCATCTGCTTCACCCTCTGCAAACACACACAGAAGAGTAAATAACAAGCACATAACAGAAATCTCACTGTGATCTCAAACTAAAAGTGTGTGTGTGTGCTAATTTATTATACATTTACAGCTTGTTGTGCCACCCCTAATTGTCCAAAAAACAAAAACGGGTTTAAATGAAAAGTACATGAATAAAAATACTAGTAATAAGTGTAATGATAGTATAAATTTAGAGGTATTATGAACAGTTGGTCAGATCGCTGCACAGCCTACACATATCTTACTGTCCATCAATTCTGTGTGCTGCTGACCTGAGGCAGCTCACATGTGTTGTATTAGATGCTTCTTCAGGGCATGAATGTTGCCTCAAAGTAAGAGACCAGTCACAAACCTTCTCTGAAAACTGCAGGTAGCCTACTGCATAGACTTTAATTGTGCAAGTCAACCTTAACCATGACTCTTGTGCACTGAGAGAAGAAGTAGAAAGGACAGGGGACAACAGAGGGGGTGTGTCAAATGTTTTTGTTTTAACTTGTATGTAGCTTGCTTTTGTTTTTTGATTAGAGTTGATATAAGAAAACTGATTATGATTATTTATTATTTGGGACGACCCAAACATACATTTTTGTTGCTACTGGGGGAGCTACAGTGAGGAACAGAAGTATTTGAACACCCTGCGATTTTGCAAGTTCTCCCACTTAGAAATCATGGAGGGGTCTGAAATTCACATTGTAGGTGCATTCCCACTCTGAGAGACAGAATAAAAAAAAAATTTCAGGAAATCACATTGTATGATTTTTAAAGAATTTATTTGTCTTGCACTGCTGAACATAAGTATTTGAACACCTGAGAAACAGCAAGAATTCTGGCTCTCAAAGACCTGTTACTGT